ACTACAGTTAAGGTACTTACTTGGACTTGCGATTTAAGCAGAGCTGCCTGCCTTAGGAAAGGGAGAGATTTTTTTTTAATGTATGTTATCGACTTAATGGAACTCTGGTGGTGTAGTGCCTAACCTCTCAGGTTGATACGCAGTAGGTCAGCAGTTCAAATCCTTATACTTCTCTGCAGGAGAAAGATGAGCAATCTCCTCCCATGAAGATATACATCCTCAGAAGCCTGCTGGAGGGTGGGAATAAGCCAGAACTAACACCTCAGCCTCAGAAACTGACCCCCAGCCACAGGAGTGGGGAAGCACTTGCATCACAGAATGCTGAACTGGACACGCACATGGTGGGCACAGACATGGCAGCCTGCTTCTCTGCATGTGGCCAGGATTTGTCACAGGAGCCGTTAAAAACCAGAAACAAGCAAGCAAACAGAATCCCTCCCCCCAAAATCAGATTCTTATCCAAATTTATACAATATTCACATCCTTGGAGAACTCAGTATACGTATTAAGCCTTGTCTCCCTCCCAAAGCAAAAATAAACCCTTGAGTTTATGTAAAATTCAGTTAAGTCTTCAGTTATAATTGTCCTAAATAGGTTTTCCTCCTGCATCAATGTACCGCTGTGCTCAGAGTTGAGGCAGGTCCAGCAACAGGACAGCCAGCACCCACACCTCCCACCCCACCCCTCCCCAGGTGACAGAGCAGAAGCTGCTGCCACAACTTTACAAAGCATCCAGCAGAGGGCTGTATTGGCCCTGTTGGGAAGACTGGTTAACAGACCAGACCATGGTGGAGGAGGAAGTACTCCTTCAGTTCATGGACTGCTAAAGTCACAAAGGACTCAGCTGTAGGACTCCCAGTAGATGAGCACTTCCCAGATGTAATGCCAGAAGAACTAGCCTGGCCAGCTCTGGGATCTCCTCATGTGCTCAGTTATCAAGGCAGGCAGGCATGCGCTCAGAAGGGTACCAGGCACAAGTCTCTCCAAGACATGTCATGTGTCTAGCACCTGTTTGTTGAGCAGGACAGGATTCTCGCCCTCCACATGGAGGCTCAGGTTTCATTTTGGGCAGAGCATGCCAGCACAGCCCTGTCTGTCATTGGGGGCTTGCATGTTGCTAAGAGTACCAGTAGATTTCTGCAATGCTTCCAGACAGAGAGTGGCGGAAAGACAGTCCTGATATTTGCTTCCTTAAGTTACGGAAGGAAGCCCACTGTGCTGTGGCCCCACCTTCAGGTGTTCATCATGTGCTGGCATGGGACAGTCTCCCAGCCTAGAAGAGATAGTGACATAATTCAGAATTACACTAAAGCCTTTGAAGCCAGAACCTGTGAGGGGCAAAGCAGGAAAAGATTTTCCCCTCAAGTGAGCTGTGGAAAAGTGGTGAGGCTGAACTTTTGCAGAAGCAGAAGCCAGAGACACACAAAACAAGACACTGCATGGATTTGTGGGGCAGCTCCTTGCAGCCATGTGGTGTCCAGTGTCCTGGTGTAAGTCTTCTTGAAGATTTTATTATTAGTATCTTTATAAACCAAATCTTTCTTTGTCTTTGGGGTTGAAAACTTTACATATAAGTTAAAAATACTTTTTTAAACATACATGGTGGTTATGTGCCGTTGAGTCGCTTACAACTCCTAGCAACCCAATATACATTAAGTCTGAACCCTGCTCTATCTATCTTGAGCAGATTTCACTGTCTCTGACACACCTACCCTTAGCCCCAGTCATTGAGTCAACTCATCTCATCCAAGGTCTTCCTCTCTTGTGTTGTTCCTCCACGCTTCCAAGCATGATGTCCCTCTCCAAGGACTGGTCCATCCTGGTAACAAGCCCAAAGTAAGTGAGACAGAGCTTCAAAATCCTTGTCTTCAAACCCAAAATCTCTGTAAATGTTCATTAAAACTAATAAAATTTAATAATAATTAAAAAAAAAAATCCTTGTCTTCAAAGGGCAGCCTGGTTTCATCCTTTCCAGGACAGACCTATTTGTTTTCTTATCATTCCATGGTAATTCAATATCCTTCTCCCACACTACAACTCAAAGGCATCAATTCTTCCTTTATCATCCTTAGTCACTGTCCAGCTTTCTGTTGTATAGCAAATAATTGCAACGTCCATAGCCTAGATCAGGCAAACCTTAGTCTCTAGACTGACATTGTTGCTCCTCAGTACTCTGGAGAGGTCTCTGACAGCAGATTTTCTCAATGTCATCTTTTGATTTCCTGGCTGCTGGTACCAAAAGTGTTGAGTGTGGAGCTAAGCAAACTGAAGTTATTAGCAGTCTCAGGCTCTTCATGGTCTATCATGATGCTGCTAGTTGGTCCAGTGATAAGAATCTTTGTTCCCTTAATATTGAGCTTCAATCCATGTTGAAGTCTGCAGTCCTTGACCTTCTGCAGCAAATGCCTCAGATTCTCCTCCTCATTTTCAGCATTCAAGGTTGTATCATCTGCGTAATGTAGGTTTTTGATGAGTCTTCTCCAATCCTGATGCCACATGCCTCTTCATAAAGTCCAGCCTCCCATGTGGTCTGTTCCATACGTGTTGGGTGTGTGTGTGTGTGTGTGGTATGGAGCTAGGATGTATTACTGGCATACATGTTTCATGATTTTGGACCATTCAGTGTTTCCTTGCTCTGTTATGAGGACTGCTTCTAGGTCCAAGTATAGGTTTTGCATAAGCACAATTAAGTATTCTAGAATTCTTATTCTTCTCAAGGTTAGTCACAAGTTGTTGTGATCCACACAGTCAAATGCCTCTGCATAGTCAATGAAACACAGATAGACATTCCTCTGGTGCTCTCTGGTTTTAGCCAAGATCCATCTAACATTGGCTATGATGCCCCTTGTGCAGTGGATTCTTTTAAACCCAGTCTTGCAGTTCTCTGTTGATGTGCTGTTAAGTCATATTTAGATAATTTCCAGAAGGATCTTGCTTGCATGTGATATTGTTTGATAATTTCCACACTTTGTTGGGTCATCATTTTTAGAATGGGAATTAATATGGATCTCTCAATTGGCGAAGTGCTTGTCCTCCAAATTTCTTGGCACAATCTGGGAAGGGCTGCATCTGTTTGTTGAACTATGTCTGCTGCTATGCCATGAATTCCTGGGGCCTTGTTTTATTACCAGTTCCTTAAGAGCAGCTTGAAATTCCCCCCTCATCATCATTGGTTCTTGATCGTATATTGTTTCATGAAATTCTTCTGTGTCAGCTACTTCCTTTTGGTATATTTGTTAAAAACAACAACTAAACAAACAAACCAATCCCCTCTGTTTTTAAGTGAGGCTCATGTCAACTTGAATATGTCATATGAAGCCACCGCTTAAGCATTTTCCATGGGGTCATGTCCGTGGGCATTGCAGGGAGGCAGGAAGAGAGGACCTCATCCACCCGGGTAGAGAAAGTACTGGAGGAGATGACAGATAAGACAGGTGTTACTAGCTATGAGGAAGCAAAAAAGCCCAGCGGGTTTTGTCCTGGATGGGGTGCAGGTAAGAGATATGTGGACAATTCCAAACAGATGCTGGTCCTTCTGCAAAGCTAAGGCAGGGGTGGCCCTGAATGCGAGTGTGGGCCAGGAGGACTGGGATGCCTGGATTCTTGTCCTCCAGCAGAGCTGGGGGAAGGAATGGCCCAGAATAGGAGCATGGGCTGGGTGGGCTGGGATACCTGGATCCTTGTTCCATGGAGCTGGTGATGGGGTCTGTTGTTCCATGGAGCTAAAGCAGGGGAGGTGCAGAACAAATCAATGAGATCCTTATCATTTGGCAGAGCTAGATTGGAAGGCACAGAGTGAGAGGATAGTAGGTCAGGATGCATGCATTCTTGTCATTTGGTGGAGCTGGGATAGGGGGCTCAGAATGAGTTAGGGGACCAGATGGGTCATGACATATGGATCCACTCTGGAGACCTTGGAGCAGGCTTCTGGGACTCAGGAAGCCTCTTGCAAACACACAATATGAAAGCCCTTGTATCCTAGTTTATATTCATCCATTCTTTCACCCTTTGTTAAGGGTCTTCCTGTTCTCATTCGTTCCTGAGTGAGTGAGTGGATCAGTGAATGGGTGGTTAGCCTGATAGGGAGACTCCTGATTCCTTTCACCCTCCACGGTCAGGTCTGAGAAGGAACAAAATGGCAGGGACTTCTCCACAGCACGTTGTTCCTCAGTATGGCCCTTCTTCTTGATTGTAGGGCAGTGACCCATGTGAGTAGGACGAGCCCGCATGGAAGAACCCTGTCATGGTCATGTAGGATAGAGGGCTGTCCACAACGTTTCCACAGCTGTAAGCCTCATCTTCCTCTGTTTAGCTGCTATGAGATTCACACCATATCCTTTAGATTACCTCCAGCACCTCCTCCTCTGTGCCAGGAGAGAGTAGGTGCTTCAGCCAGCCTGAGCCCCTTTCATTTGTAAGCTGGAACCCTGCTCTTCATTGTGTGTCAAATGCCCCTGGAATTCCTTCTAGAAAGCACTGTGATCTATATGGCCTGTGGCCTGTGACCAGAAGGTGTCCTTCCAGAGGGACATTGGGCCTTTCCTGGGTACTGGGCAAGAAGATGGTAGTAAGTTTGACAGTTGTCTGTCAGTTGTGCACATTAAAATGATGAGTTTGAGATTATGTAAATTTTACTTCAATTTTTCAAAATGTAGTGAAGAAAGAACAAAATGTGTCAGCTACATGGATGAAGATGGCAAACCAGGAAGGATTCAGTAGTGGTTGGGGGTGGATGAAGGGCAATTTCCTGTACTTAGCCTCTCCACCGGTGGCCCCCCCACTAGCTGGAGCTGAGCTAGTGTAACCTGTGGCGCCCTCATGTGTCAGAGTAGACCCACGTCCGGGGATTATCAATGGCCATCTTTCAGATGGCTTCCAGGAGACACCCTTCCAGTGGACTTAAACTTCTGTCTTTTCAGTCAGTATTCAAGTGCAAGAACCAGCTCACCACATGGGAACTGCTTTTCCTAAGTAACAGACTGCTTTTATTCTGGTTGCAGGATGCTCACCGAAGCCTCTTCATCCAGCAGCTCCGACCCACACAGAATTTCCAGCCAAGAATCAAACTCAAGCTGTTTGGCCACTCGGGGTCTGGGAAGACCACTCTTGTGGAGTCCCTCAAGTGCGGACTGCTGCGGGGCTTCTTCCGGAGGCGGCGGCCCAGGCTGTCTTCCACCAACTCCACCAGGTTCCCCCCATCACCCTTGGCCTCCAAGCCAGCAGGTAGGAAATGGGGCAGCTGCCTGCAGGAGTATCTAGGCCTGCTGCTGGCCCTGTGTCACAGTCCCCTTTGGCCAGTGTCTGCAGTTGACCTCAGCAATTGCAAAGAAAGGGCTTCACTGGAACCAGGGCACAGATGTAAGTGATAAACATTTTACACTTAAACTGCAGAGCTAAGTCCTGTTTCGTTGAAGGTAGGAGAGTCCTCATGCAGAGCACAGATCACATGGCAGCCCTAAGGGTCAGCTGTCAGCACTGCTGTAGGCACTCCCAGGAATGCCATACTACCCTGCCACTGCTGCACTGCCCCCCACACCCAGAAGGTGGGTGGTACCACATAGCCCTCCACAGAGAATGGGTGAGCATGAAGTGGTGGACTTGCTGTTCAGTCATAAAGAGAAATGAAGTTTTGATACTCTTGACATGAATGACAGTGAAACACATTTATTTTACTGCATAAAACAGGTCAATGACAAAGGAGCAGATACTGCATGGTCCCGATTACATGAGACAACTAGAATAAGCTCTGGTCATTGGTAGTTACCAAAGGTTGGAGTTAGGGAAGCATTGCTCAAAGAAGAGACAGAAGGATTTTAGAAATAATTAATGATACTAGATGTGGTGTTGAACATTTTGAATTAGACATTCACATGGTTGTCTATGCCAGAAATGACAAATTGAAGGAAAATAGTGTAGCATTCATCAGTAAAAAGAGCATTTCAAAATCCGTCCTGAAGTACAGTGCAGTGAGTGATGTTGTTGTTATGTGCCATTGAGTCGTTTGTGACTCATAGTGACTATACATATATATATACACACACACATATGCATAAGCCTTGTTAATAGAACTGTAATTCAAATATCTGTACCAATCACAAAAGCCAAGGATGAAGAAACTTGATGATTTCTGTCACTTTTTGCATTCAGAAATTGATCGAACATGCAGTCCAATTACATTAATAATAATTGATGACTGGAAAGCAAAATTTGAAAACAAAGAAGTAAGATTGGTAGTTGGAAAATGTAGCGTTGATGACAGAAATGAGATCATATGATAGAGTTTTGTACAAGGACTGTTACATTGCAAATACTATTTTTTAAAAGCATAAACAGTGGCTATACATAATGACTTCACTTGATGCACTACACAGGCATCAAATTGACTACATCTGTGGAAAGACATATTGGAGAAGCTCAATGTCAGCAGTCAGCAGTAGGCTGGGGGCCGACTGTGGAACAGACCATCAACTACTCATATGCAAGTTCAAACTGAAATTAAAGAACATGACAACAAGTCTGCAAGAACCAAAATATGACCTTGTGTGTATCCTACCTAAATTTAAAAACCGTCTTAATAGATTTGACACAGAACATTAATGACTGAAGCGTTGTGTAATGACATCAAAGATGTCACCCATAAATGAAAGCAAAAAGTCATTACAAAGATAGAGAAGAAATAAAAGACTAAAGTGCATGTCAGAAGAGATTCTAAAACTTGAACTGGAATGAAAAGAAACCAAAACAAATGGAAAGACTACTGAGAAAAGAGAGCTGAACAGAAGATTTTTAAGAGGCAACTCGAGAAGACACAGCAAAGTATTGGAGTGCAATGTGCAAGGATCTGGAGTTAGAAAATCAAAAGGGAAGAACATGCTTGGCATTCCCCAAGCTGAAAGAACTCAACAAAAGATTCAAACTTTGAGTTGCAAAACTTTTGAGTTGAGCAAGATCTTGAATGATGCAAGAAACACTAAAAGAAGGTGGAAGGCATACACACAGTCACTATACAGAAAAAATGGCCCACACTGAACTATTTCAGGAACTATATGATTAAGAATCCTATAGTAATGAAGGCAGAAGTCCAAGCTGCACTGAAAGCTCTGTCAGAAACAAGAGCCCAAGATTTGATGGAATACCAGTTGAGGTGTTTCAGGAAAGAGCTGCAGCCCTGGATGTCCTCACTGGTCTCTGTCAACAAATCTGGAGGACAGCTACCTGGCCAACTGCTCTTTGTTTCTATTCCCAAAATGGTGATCCAACAGAATGTGGAAATTATAAGATATTATCATTATTGTCACATGAAATAATGGAAGTGAAACTTGCTTAAGATTATTCAAAAACAGCTTTGACACAAGGAATATCATTGCTGATGTCAGATGGATCTTAACTGAAAGCAGAGAGTACCAGAAAGATGAATATGTGTGTTTTATTGATAGAGGCATTTGACTGTGTGTATAATAACAAAGTATTATTAACATTGAGAATAATGGGACTCACAGAACATTTAATTGTGTTCATGAAAAACATAAACGTACATTAAGATAAACATAAACATAAATTAACATACAAAAGAACACTGATAGTGTGTTTTAAAAATCAGGAAAAGTGTACATCAAGGTTGTATCCTTTCTTCATACCAATTCAGTGTGTATGCTGAGCGAATCATTCAAGAAGCTTGACTATATGAAGAAGAATGTGACATCAAGATTGGAGGAAAACTCATCAACAACCTGTGTTATGCAGATGACAAGACCAGTCTTGCTTGCAGAAAGTGAAGAGGATTTGAAGAACTTACTGCAGAGGATCAAAGACTTCAGCTTCAATATGCATTATGTCTTAACACCTAGAAAACAGACAACCTCACCACTGAACCAGTAGACAACATCATGGTAGATGGACAGAAGATTGAAGTTGTCAACAGTTTCCATTTACTTGAAGTCAACACCCATGGAAACACAATCAAGAAATAACAAAACATGTTGCATTGAGAAAATCTGCTGTTCAGGACTATTCCAAAGTACTTAAGAACAAGGATGTCCAGTTAAAGACTAAGGTGCACCTGATCCTAGCCATAGTATTTCCAGTTGTTTCCTGTGTAACTGAAAGTTGAACCATGAATAAGGATTATGGAAGAAAAGTCAACACCTTTAAAGAAGGTATTGATGAAGAATATTGATTATACACCAAAGATTCATGAAAAACAAACAAATCTGTCTTGAAGGAACTGCAACCAGAATGTTCGTTAGTGTTCAGGACGGTGAAACTCATCTACTTTGGGCATATTTTCAGAAATAACAAGCCCTGGAGAGAATCATAATGCTAGGAAAGGTCAGGATCAGTAACAGAGAAGACACTCAGCTAGATGGATTGGCACAGTGACTATCACAATGGGCTACAGCATATAAGAGATTGTGAACATGGGACAGGATAGGGCAAGGTTCAAAAATATCTGTTATTTAGGGTCTCTGAGGCATAGTTGACTTGATGACACCTAACAGCAATGATGATGATAATATAACTAATGATGAATGTAACTAATGTTACTAAATTATAAGCTGAAAATAGTACAAATGACAAACTTTTTTTTTTGCTTTGCTTACATATCATAAAATTATTGCTGTCTTTTGTTGGCCCATTTGTCCATGTTACATTGAAGGTTGAGTCATATTGCTTCTCTGCATTTTTCTGTTTGTTGATAATCAGAGTACACACATACTTAGTTTTCAATCTTAGCAGCTCCATGTCAGAATACAACTACTCCATTGAATTTCTAGGCTGTAATCATTATGAGAGCAATTGCTGGGGCTATGTCCTAAAGAACCTCTGAGTGGATGTGAACCATAACCCTTTGGCTCATACTTGAGTACACTAGATCTCATCTATGTGCTATATATCTGTTTTAAAATAACTCTTCTCCAGAACATTGCCATTTTTTCTTTTCTTTTACCTACCTGGACCTTATGATCCAGACTTCCTGGTCCTCTTAATATTTTCTTATATCCATGAACCTAGTCATCAATTTTTTAATGATGTTTTTTAACATTAATTTTTAAAATTCTGTGTTGGGACAACCATTTTCAAAGCCAGATTACCTAGAAGTGCTCATTTCCCCCACACCTTGTAGCGTCTGTCACGAGTGGCTCAGAGGCACTGCTTGGTGCCACCAACTAGTGGGACACATTCCCACACAGATGCTTACTAAACTCCAGCTGTGCGTGGCTCAGCTCCCCAGTGCATGGTAGCACACACACCACAAATGCCTAGCTTTCAGAACACGTGCTGCGTCCTCACAGCTGAAGAGCCTCACAGTCCAGATCTAGGACATGGTTCTAAAGGCCGATCCATCCTGGTGACAGAAGTGGTGGCAGTCTTAGTAGATGTCTTGTTCCCTCTGTCCACTTTCCTCTTCTTTCCCTGTGTCTCTGGGTCTAATATGATTAGATTTAGAACTCACCCTACTCATATGTCCTCTAATTCAGATGAACAAGAAAGGATGACATTGATAAGTACAGAGGTCAGGATTCCTCCACATGCTTTAAGAGGTCTCAGGTCAGTCCATAAAAACAGGACAGTCTCTGGTCCCTAATAAAATTCATTAATATGAAAATGTAGCTGTGAATATAATTGTTGTCCTAGTTGTCTAGTGCTAGTGTTACAGAGGCCACAAATGATCTCTTAAACAAAAATACATGTCCTCCAAGTTTAGCAGTCTAGAAGGCTGAATTCAGAGCATCTGCCCTTGTGGAGGGCTTTCTCCAACATCAGCTCTGGGGTCTTGCCCTGGGTCCATTCCTGGCTCTCTTTTCTTGGTGTTACTGAAATCCTACCTCCTGCTTGCAAGGATAAGATGTGAGAGAAATGTCCTTTTGTTGGTTAGCACTGTGATCTCAGGCTCACTGCTGTAGACCACCCTCATCCTCTGATCCCATCAGATCACATCCTGGGTGATTGCATCATGGCATTATAGTCAAGCCATTCTGACACAAGCTATGAAGAGAGGCTTCAGTTTATTTATGATAGTTAGCACTTCCCATAAGTAAAAATCAATGTATTCAGCCACAATTTAAGAAAACATAATAATCTATTGTTGCCCACTCTTTATTTATTAAATGGAAAGGTTAGAGCATTAAAAAGATGCTAAAGACATTTAGTACCACAAATTAAACCTTGTTACTGGAGCAGTCATAAGACATCAAGGGAGTTTTAGTATATGTACTGCCAAAGCGAGCACATCAAGGGGGTTTTGATGTGATGCATTGGGACAGTCAGTTGTCAGAGACTTATCCAAAATCATAAAGAGCAGTGATGTCACTTTGAGGACTAAAGTGCAACTGATTCAGACCATGACCCTTTCAATCAACCATGCAGTTAAGAGCTGGACCAAGAACAAAATTCATAAAGACTCGATGCCTTTGAGCAGTGGAGTTGAGAAGAAACTGAATATCCCATAGACCGCCAAAAGAACAAAAATGTCTCAGAGAAAGTACAACCAGAACATTCCTTGAAGGCAAAGATGACAAAGCTTTGTCTCATCTACTTTGGGCATCTTAGGTGGGATTGTTTCTTGGAGAGGGACTTCGTGCTTGGGAAAGGAAGAGTCAGAAAAAGAGAAGAAGACCATTACAAGATGAACTGACACAGTGACAGCAGCAATGAATTTGATGATGTCAGATATGATGAGGATGGCACACTGTTCATATATGTCGTTCACATGAGTCCTACCTAACAACACCCAACAGTGCGTCTCAGGGTTGTTTTGTTCTCTGACCTCTTCGTCTTGTGCACAGAAATCAGAACTCTGCCAGCCGAGTCCTAGCAGGATTTGATGGGAGACTCAGGAAAGGCCATCACATGGCGTGGTGGACACAGCCCACAGGCACACACTGGAGCTGGGAAGCACCAGCAGGGAGCCACCTCCTTCCACTTTCGGGTCCCAGCACTGCTCCAGCAAATGGTACCACTAGTGTGTGGCTTCAAAAAACAAGAAGTTGCTTTCTCACAATTATGACGTTTAGAAGTCCAAATCAGAGTGTCAGACCACTACATCCTCTCTCCCACTTTCTGGCTATACAGACCGTGGTATCCTTTGTTTGTAACCGGTTTTTCACATGGTGTCTGTGTTTCTTCTCTTCTTATTAAATGCTGCTCTGAAATGATTGGGTTTAGGAATCTCCTGTACTAATGTGAGATCATTAATGGAATAAAAGGAAAACTCTGCTTCTGACGAGAGTCACAGCACTCTCAGGTGCAGAGGTGAGGACTTCACCAGGACTGTGGGGAGTGGTCGCCCTGTCACTCATCTCAGTATAAGAACAAGAGGACATGGTGCTGCTGAGAATATGGAGGCTGCAGACAAGGCAGGAAGAGGGAGTGGGGCCATACCATTGGTGCTGCTGTCCAGTCAGCCTGTCCCTGGAGACCTGCAGGATGACAGAGCTAGTCCACTGGGGTCACTCTTGCTGGCTGGTGATCAAGCACTCACTCCATACCATGCTCAGAGCAAGCATGTCCAAGTGTTCACTTTGTCCTGTAAGATTGCCACAGACTCACTGTTTTAGTAGTTCACAGGCCTCTCTGGCTAGTCTGTCTGAGTGTGGAAGGCCCAAAGGAAGAACTGTCCCCATGCATGTATTTAAGATACTAAAGTGGCTCAGCTTCAGGCGTCACAGCCCCCAGCATACAAGTGACCACAGTGCACCAACTGATTGTGGACAGTGGAAGGTCAGGGACGGGGTTACCAGCACTGAGGCAGGAACTGAGCAGGGGGGGTGGGGGGTAAACTTTCCTCCCCCCCCTACCTTTCCAGTACTTCCCGTTGGCTAACCCCAACCAAAAACCAAGGCAAGGATGCCTAGAAACTGCCTGGAGGGATCAGTCGTTGACAGAGAGCAGGGCAGAGAAGAGGCATGGGCGGGTCAAGTAAAGATCAGATAGATACCCGTGAGGTGGCAGAGCTGCCCACTGTGGGTTGGGGGGCTGGGCCAGGTGGGAGGTGGTTTCTGGCCAGTTCAGCATGTGACCCCTCTCTCTACCTGCAGTCTCCGTGAGCATCAACAACCTGTGTCCCGGCTGTGAGAACGTGAGTGTGCGGAGCCGCAGCATGATGTTCGAGCCAGGCCTCACCAAGGGTGTGCTGGGAGTGTTCGTGGCCCCACCACACCACTCACACAGCTCAGCTGATGACCAGTCCACTAAGGCCATTGACATCCAGAATGCCTACTTGAATGGTACGTGACTCTGGGCAGCACTTGTGTTGTGCAAACCCCAGGCCATCCACGACAATGGAGAGACCAGGTTTCTTCCACCAGGTTGTGCGTTCCTCCCTGCATCAAGCAGAACAGAACCTGTCCAGGAGATGTACTGGCTCATACTCATAGCTAGGAACCCTGAGCACTACTGTCTCCCCACATGTCCCACTGTGTCCACATGGACTCATGGTGACCCATATGTGCCTATGGTTCTTCCTGGCTGACTTTCAGGAGCAGGTCACTAGGTCTGTCTTCCAGCACACCAGAATCAATGTTTCAGTCAAGTGTTAGGAGAGGCTAGTCCTCAGGAAAGGATATCATGCTGGGAAAGGTGGGCGATCAGTGTAAAAGAGGAAGACCCTCCCTCAGTGAGATGGATGGACACAATGACTGCAGTAGTGGGTTCGAGTGTTTCAGAGATTGTGAGAATATGACAAGGTTCAGATCTGTTGTTCATAGGGTCACTATCCTTTGTAGTTGACTTGACACCTAACAACAACCAACACCACCCAGGGATTGCAAAGATGCAGGCACCAACAAACGACTGCTGTCAATTCTATGCGAGCTCATAGTGCTGCCTTCAAGGAGGTGTATTGCCACACCTCTCTCTCATTATGAGTTCCATCTATGCACTTTTGGTTGCAGAAGGCCACTCCTACCGAGTATACCCCCAGAGCTCCAAGTCTTGTTAGATGCCATCAAGGTGATCCTGAGGCATAGTTGGGATTGTATGAGAGAGCTGATGAGGGGAAGCAGAATATGGGGATCTGGGGTGTGTAAACTTCTAGGACTTGAATTATTGTGCAGGCCAGAGGGCATCCTACTTGTTGGGTCTCTGGCCTTGGGGAGATCAGGATGGCACATGGTGGTCTAGAGTTGTGTGAGGCCTGACAGGGTCAGAGAGTGCATCTAGTCGAAGTGAGAAGCAGGCTGGCTTGCAGCAGGACCACAGAACTGTGACAAGATCACATTTTAAGAAAATGGATTGCAGTAGAAAAAGATATGGATGTGGAGATAGACACAAGTCCATGTCCCTGGTCATGCATGTGGTTTACACTCAGCTGATAACTGAAGCAGTGCTTTGAGCCCACCAGAGTGTCCCAGAGGGAAGGCTGTTGGCCTTGGTAGAGAGTGCAGTTAGGAATGCCCTATAGAGCTCAGTTTTCCTCTGAACCACAAGGGGTTGCCACAAGTCGGAACAGACAGTCATGTGGGTGGGTGTACGGACGAGCGATGCAGCCCCAAGGTTCTGAGACCAGTTTGATCAGAACCTGGTGCTGCTCCATGCTCAACTTGAGTGTATATCTCCTCTGCAGGCATCGGTGATTTCAGCGTGTGGGAGTTTTCTGGGAATCCTGTGTATTTCTGCTGTTACGATTATTTTGCTGCCAATGATCCCACCTCGATCCACGTTGTGGTTTTCAGTCTGGAGGAGCCCTATGAGATACAGCTGAACCAAGTGATTTTCTGGTTGAGCTTTCTGAAGAGCCTGGTGCCTGTGGAAGAGGCCATAGGTGAGCTGAGGAGGCTGGCCATCCGGCTACTGTGCTCCTCCACCTTGCCTCACGGCCTGCCACCCCTACCCCGCACAAATGTGGGCTTGCACTCATAGTTGCTTGTTTTTGTACATTCCTCCTCCCAGCAGACTTTCTGATTTCATTTCATGCAATCTTCTGAGACTCACTGTTCATTTCTTTCCTGTGTCTGAGGCCCAGTTCTGAGCAATCCCTGGAAAGCAGTTTCTCTCTAAGCCTTAAGAGCTGTGGTCCATTGAGTGTAAACAGAATGTGTTCTTTAATAATTGTGACCCTTGATTTTCAGCTTTCATGCAGGAGACCTAAGTTTGGTTTCTAGCCACAGCACTTCGTGCACAGTCAGTCCCTTCTATCTCTGATTCTTGCATGTTACTTGATGCTGAGCAAGTTCCAGGGAAGCTTCCAAACTAAAATGTATTAGAAAAAAAGGCTTGGTAATCTACTTCCATAACTCAGCCTTTGAACACCCTCAGAGTCACAGTAATCTGATCTATGATACATCACAATGATGGCACAGGAATAGGACATCGCTGTGCTCCGTTGTTTTTGAGGCCACCTGGAGTGACAGTCACACACACTCACACACGCCTCTCTACTTAAAAGGAGCACAGTTAATGTCATTGATTATTTAAAAAATGCCATTCTTCTCATCCTCCAAATCCATCAGGAAGAGAATAAAAATAGATGTTTGGGACAAATGATCATATTTATTAAGTTATCATAAATTTCTTAGAGGACAAGGTAACATGGGATAAATTTCGTCTTTTCATACAAGCAGTCTTGTGTGATTCCCTGATGAGTTATACTTAGCAAATTATGCTTTTCCATAAAGGCATCTAGAGAATGAAACGCAGTGAGCTTAGTTCCCCTTGGTATACTGCCATGCGCACCAGCTTTCTCTCCTCTCCTGTAAATGTGAAACTGGCTATAGGCTCCACTGCTGAACCCTTCTTAAGGTGCCACTGTGTTCAGCTCTGTCTTCGCTTTTGTAAAAGGTGTTCCTGTCACTAGCCACTTCTGCCCCCACAGGGCAAATGGGACTGCTTGCAGAAGATCTGGAAGCAGCTGCCTTCTGTCTTGTGATCTGCTTCTAGTCACTGCTGAGCAAACTTCCTTGATATTCAAGCTTCGGAGGTTTAGTTTCAGTGGCAGCAACTTAGGAGCAAACCACTCCCATTAGCAGACATGCACTCAGTGTGCAAACTCCATGTCTTCTGGAGGCAGCAGCTGACCCAGGGGGGCTCCAGCCTGGGAGGAGAGGCACCCCCTTGGCCTTGAAGAAAAAGAGTCTCCCCTTGGACTTGGAGGAGAAGCCCCCTTGGTCTGGGAGGAGACACCCCCCCCGCCTTGGCCTGGGCACAGAGGTTCCCGTCAACCTGGGAGGAGAGGCAGCCAATTAAGGGCTGGCTCCTCATTCAGGCTGTCTCTGCCTTCCAGCCTTTGGTGGTAAGCTGAAGAACCCACTGCGAGTTGTCCTGGTGGCCACTCATGCTGACATCATGAATGTACCCCGTCCAGCTGGAGGTGAATTTGGTTATGACAAAGATACCTCATTGCTTAAAGAAGTTAGGAACAGGTAAGGCATGACCTTGGTCTCCAACCCAGTGTGCACATCATTGGTGTGAAAATATGAGAAATCACAAGTATGAACCTGAGAAAGGATGAAAGGGCTGTTTTATTGCATTTTTACTTTATCAGAGCAGTGGATGTCCCTGACTGAGCCTATAAAGGTAAAGGTCACTTGGTAAAACACCCGTCTTCTAACTTCTTTCCTCCTGTCACTGCTACCAGAGAAACTTCTTTTATTTGGGCTTTTAGTTTACTTGTTGCTCTCCCTTTAATATTTATCAGTATTTCTCAAAATTTTGGGCCAATTATTGGGGCCTGAAGCTCTCTTAGGGGTTCACAACCAACTTGTTTTAAGTTGGAATGACTAGAATGAGTGGTATAGAGGAAACTTGTCAGGCTCGCTCAAACTGACTCGCGGTGTTAGGACAAGAAATGACAGAGTGCACAGCTGAATCCACCAGCACTCTGCAGGAGGAAACGAGGCAGTATGCTTCCATAGAGATTACAGCCCTTGGAAACCCTCTCAGGCAGGTATCTGTCCAACAGAGTCACTGAGAGTCAGAGTCTGTTGACATTTCTCAGATTTACAGGAAGAGCGCTTTCAGCCTGATGCCCTTCTATCACAGAAGCTGAAGTCTCCTCCCCAGGTATCTATGACCCTGCAGAAACCAAGGTGCCTATTTGGACAGCTCTGAGTAAAGCAATATCCTCAAGGCTTGCTGCACACACCGTCACTGCGCGGAGTTCACAGAACAGCAGACTGAAGATTAGCTCAAGTCACCACAACTGCCCCTGCGTCCATGGGCCCCTAACAGCCTTTTTCCTTTCATGAAACCTTTGCTGTTCCTCACAGGTTTGGGAATGATCTTCATGTTTCAAACAAGCTCTTTGTCCTGGATGCTGGAGCTTCGGGATCTAAGGACATGAAGGTACTTCGAAACCATCTGCAGGAAATTCGGAGCCAGATTGTTACTGTAAGTTGGGAGAAGACTTGAACCTCACCCTCACCAGACCACTGAGTGACTCAGAGGGTTGGGTCTTTTGGGGACTTCCCTCCTAGTCTGGTCTGTGTCTTAACTTTCCCTGTGTCTTAGTTTTGTGGGATAAGGCATATACCACAAGTGGGTGGCTTTGAAGGAGAAAAATTTCTTTTCTCCCAGTTCAGGCATGCCTAATCAGGACTGCCTGTAGTGGAAATCTTACCTGGCTCTTAGCTTCTAGTTGTTATTGTTGTTGCGGTGATATCAAGTCAACTATGACTCATAGAAACCTTATGAACAGGTCTGAACCCTGCCCTATCCTGTGACATCCTCATCATCTCTGATATACTTTAACACATTGTTCCAACAACTGTGTCCATCCATCTTGTTGATGATCCTCCTCTCATATACTGACCCTCTACCTTTCCAAGTCTGATATCCGTTTCCAAGTTTTGGCCTCTTCTAACAACATAGCCAAAGTATGTGAGATAAAGTTATGCCATTGTTGCCTCTAAGGAACACCCTGGTTGCACTTTCTCTAAGACATTTTTGGTTTGTGTTTTGGGGTGGGTTTTTGTTGTTGTTGTTTTGCAGTCAGTCTATAAGGCTGAGAATAGAATGATAGAATTCTGCACAATCAATTATATATTCATTGAAAATACCTTTTATAAGAAACATAAACACAGGATATACACATGGATTTCAACTGATGGATGTACAGGAAATAAATTGATTACATCTGTGGAAGGGAACATTGGAAAAGTTCAATATGAGCAGTAAAAACTAGGCCAGATGCTGATTATGGAACAGACCATCAACTACTCATATGCAAGTTCAAATTAAAACTAAAGAAGGTTAAATAATATCCACAGGAATCAAAATTTGATCTTGAGTCTATGCCCCCTGAATTTAAAAACCAATTCAGTGAGAGGTTTGTGGCCTTGAACACTAATGAACTAAGACAGATGAGCTATGGGAAGATACTAAGAATATCGTCCATGAAAATGCTGAAGGTCTTTACAAAGAAGGAAGAAGACAATTTAAGCCATGTCTGAGGGCCACAGATTAAAATCACCCACTTTGGGCTTGGTAGCATAACTTTCTGTCCACTAGGCCAACGTAGCTCTCTCTGTGTTGTTATTGTTGCTGTTAAGTGCCATCGAGTCATAGACAACTCATAGCATCCCTATGAACAAAAGACCTGAACACTGTTCACTTCCAAGCTTGTTTTTAATGGGGAAACTCCACCAAACACCATGGGTAACCATTATCACATTTGGCACATCAGTTGTCACCGTGTTTAGCATCACAGCAACCACAAATTACCTCTATACAGCAACACACAGACTAGAACTATACCACCTAGAAGAATGTTTGTATAAGGAACTTTATCTAAGCCACTTTCCTCCATATCCTCCTCCAGTGCACCTGTAAGCAACACCTCCAAAGTCCTTTCCTTTATAACTCATGAGTTTGCTCCCTTATTGCTCCCTTTCCTATAGGTAACCTGGACATGAGTCTTGTTCCAGAAGCCAACACAAAGGGAAGAAACACAAAAGTTAAGCTGAATAGAAGATTTCAAAGGGCTGCTCGGGAAAACAGAGTATTATAATGAAATGTGCTAGGAACTGGAGTCAGAAAATCAAAAGGGCCAAACTTGCTTGGCATTTCTTAAGCTGAAGGAACTAAAGAACAACATCAAGTTGCTATGGGCAGAATACTGAATGATTTGAGAAGCATTAGAAGAAGAAGAATGAAGGGAGTATACAGAGTCATTGTACCAATGGTACATTCTACAGAATTGATCACATATTAGGACACAAATCAAGCCTCAAAAATTTAAAAATATTGAAATAATACAAAGTATCTTCTCAGACCACAATGCCATAAAACTAGAAATTAACTACAAGAGGATAAAGCTTATTAAGCCATCAACGTGGAAGCTAGAACACAATTGTGTTACAGAATAAAAAATGAAATAAAGTTCCTTGAAACAAATGATAATAAAAATAGAATGTATTAAAACCTCTGAGATGCAGCTAAGGGGCCAGCTCATAGCAATAGGCAAACACATTAAAAAGATATAAGCAAAATAAATTATTTCACTCAATATCTTCATCAAATAGAAAAAACAACAGTCTACCCAACAGCCTCAAAAAGAAAGGAAATTATAAGGATAAGAGCTGAAATCAATGAGATAGAAAACAGAAAAACAGTTGAAATCATCATTAAGGCCAGGAGCTGATGTTTCAAAAGGATCAATAAAATTGACCAAAAAAATAAATAAATAAAAATTAACAAACCATTGGCAAGCTTAAAAGAAAAAAGGAGAAGACATAAATAATTCAATTAAGAAATTATAAAGGTGGCATCACAACAGAACCAGAGGAAATTAAAGCTATAATATTTGAGTATTATGAAAAGCTGTACTCAGATAAATTTGAAAATCTAGAGGAAATGGACAAATTCCTTAAAACTCATGCACTACCCAGGTTGACACAGTCAGATGTAGAACACTTGAATAGACCCATCACAAAAAAAGTCCTGGACCACATGGCTTCACAGCTGAATTCTGCCAACATTCAGAGAAGATTTATCACCAATTCTACTTATTTCAAAATACAGGAAAGAGAAGGAACACTCAGATACATTCTATGAAGCAAGCATAATCTTGATACCAAAACCAAGCAAAGATATTACCCCCCCAAAAAAATACAGACCAGTATCTCTCATGAACATAGATGCAAAAATCTTTAACAAAACCCTAGCCAATAGAATCCAAAAGCACATAAAATATAAATAATTCATCATGACCAGGTGGGATTCATAACAGGTAAGCAAGAATGCTTCAACATAAGAAAAAGAATCAGCATAATTCACCAAATTAACAAAAAAATAACAAGAACCATATGATCCTAGCAGTTGATTCAGAAAAGGCATTTGACAAAATGCAGCACCTCTTTCTGATTAAGACACTCAACAAAATTGGAATAGAAGGGATTTCCTCAATGTAGTCAAAATTATATATGCAAAACCAAGAGCCACTTATCATTCTGAATAAAGAAAGATTAAAAGCATTTTCTTTGCAAACAGAGACCAAACAAGGATATCCACTGTCATCACTGCTATTCAGTATTTTACTGGAAGTGCTTGCTAGGGCAGTACAACAAGAGGCATCCTGATCAGCAGAGAGATGGTTAAACTGTCACTCTATGCAGATGATATAATAATGAACACAGAAAACCCTAAGGACTCAATAAAAAACCTGTTAGAGCTAGTAGATCAGTTTAGCAGAGTGGCAGGATACAAGTTCAATATCAAAAAAGCAGGGGATTCCTCCACAGTAACAAAGAGAACTCAGAGAAGGAAACCAAGAAGGCATTACCATTTATAGTAGCCAACCACAAACGAAGATACTTGAGAGTGAAACTAAAGATACAAAAGACCTGTACAAGGAAAACTACAGAATGTTTCTGCAAGACACAGTAAAAGACCAAAAGAAATGGGAAAATGGGCTCTGTTCATGGATGTTGTTGTTATGCGCCGTCAAGTCACTTGCGACTCATAGCGACCCTATGTACAACAGCCCTAAACCCTGCTCTATCCTGTGCTAATCGCGCTGCCTCTGACCCACGCATCCCGATAACCCCAGTCACTGAATCAATCCACCTCATAGAGAGTCTTCCCCTCCTGTGCTGTCCCTTCACCCTCCCAAGCATGATGTCCCTCTCCAAGGACCTGTCCCTCCTTACAACATGTCCAAAGTATGTCAGAAGAAGGCCCAGAATCCTTGCCTCCAAGTAGCAGCCCGGTTTAATCCTCTCCAAGATGAATCTGTTTGTTTTCTTGGCAGCCCATGGTACATTAAATACTCTTCTCCAGCACCACAGGTCAAAGGCATCAATTCTCCTTCTTCCTAGTCATTGTCCAACTCTCTGATGCATAACAAGTGATTGCAAAGACCGTAGCTTGTATCAGGCGCACCTTAGTCTCCAGAGTGACACCATTGCTCTTCAGTACTTTGGAGAGGTCCCTAACAGCAGACTTTCCCATCACAATACGTTTTTTTTATTTCCTGGCTACTGGTGCCAAGAGTGTTGACCGTGGAGCTAAGCAGACTAAAGTTGTTAACAATCTCAATCTCTTCACCATCCATTCTGATGCTGCCAGTTGGTCCAGTGGTGAGAATCTTTGTCTTCTTGACATTGAGCCTCAATCCATACTGAAGGCAGCAGTCCTTGACCCTCTGCAGCAAGCGCTTCAGGTCCTCCTCAGTTTCAGCAAGCAGGGTTGTGTCATCTGCATAACACAGATTGTTAATAGATCTTCCAGCAATCCTGACTCCACACTTCTCCTCATAGAGCCCAGCCTCTCGGATAATCTGTTCTGCATACAGGTTGAAAAGGTATGGAGATAGGACACATCCCTGGCGTACACCTTTTCCAATTTTGAACCATGCTGTGTTTCCCTGCTCTGTTCTGATGACTGCCTCTTGGTCCAAGTATAGGTTTCGCATTAGAACGATCAAGTGTTCTGGGATTTCCATTCTTCTGTGTCAGCCACAGTTTGTTATGATCCACACAGTCAATCACCTTTGCATAAACAATGAAACACAGATAGACATTCTTCTGGTATTCCCTGCTTTCAGCTAAGATCCATCTAACATCGGCTACAGTATCCCTAGTACCACAACCCCTTCTAAACCCAGCCTGGACTTCTGGCAGTTCTCTGCTGATGTGCTCCAGTCTTTTTTGGATAATCTTCTGGTGGCCTACTGGCAAGGAACTGTGCTGCCAACTCAAAGGCACATGGTTTGAGTCAACTAGCTTTTCTGAGGGAAAAAGATGGGTAAATCCTTTGTGATTTACTGTCTCTGAAAACCTGTTGGTTTGTCTCTCGGTTCATGGATAGGAGAAGACTCCATATTATGGAAATGACAATACTACCAAAATCAATCTACATGTTCAATGCAATCCCAATACAAATATCAAATTGATTTCTCAAGATCAAAGTGGAAATCATTAAGTTTATATGGAGAGGAAAAAGACTCTGAATAAACAAAGTAATTCTGAAAAAACAATGGGAAAAATGAAGTGGGAGGCATAGCACTTCCTGACCTCAAAACCTACTACACAGCAGTACTAACCAAAACAGCATGGTACTGGTATAATAACAGTCATGTAGACCAGTGGAACAGAATTGAGAACCCCGAAATGAACCTATCTATCTACGGTCAACTGATATTCAACAAGGAAATAAAACCTGTCTTATGGGGAAATGACAACCTCTTCAACAAATGGTGCTAACAAAACTGGACTGCTACCTGTATCCACATGTTGTACCATACACAAAAATCAGACCTCAGAATAAAGCCTAAAACCACAAAGCTCATAAGACACAAAAAAAATTAAATCTCTGTGCTCATCAAAATTTGATATTTCACTTCTTTTAAGTCTTTCTTTACATTTTTGCCTGCCAGTCTATGTTGTTGTTTTTATTACACATCTGTTCCTTTGTGTAACTTGTGAGTTCATGTGTTTTATTTTATTTTATAAATACCATTATAAAGAAACTTATTTTTAAATTAAAATTAAAAAAACTTTTTTCAACAGGGTAAAAAGAAAACCTCCTGACTGGGAAAAAATTTGGCAATACCATCTCATACAAGGGTCTTGTAACAAGAGATTACAGACTCCTACAGGGACTCCAGAAGAAAAAGACTTTAAATCCAATTACAAAATGAGCAAAAGACATGGAAAGACGTTTCACAGAGGAGGACATTCAGATGGCCAACAAACACATGAAGAAATGCTCAAAATCACTGGCAATAAGAGAGATGCAAATCAAAACCACAGTGAGATACGATGTTAGCCAAGTCGCACTGGCAAAGTTTATCAAGGCAGCAAGCAATAAATGTTGGAGAGGATGTGGCAAGATAGGAACTCTTATACATTGTTGGTGGGGGTTGTAAAATGGTATAACTCTGGAAGGCAGTTTGGCATTTCCTCAAAAAAGCTGAACATAGAAATTCCATATGGCCTAGCTATTCATCTGCTTGGAATATACCCTGAGAAAATGAGAACTGAGGCACAGAGACTTGTACCCCAATATTCATAGCAGCATTATTCGCCATCATAAAGAACATGGAAACAGCCCAAATGTCCAACCACAATGGAATGGATTGAGAAATTATGGTACATTCACACGATGGAATACTATTGTGTAAATTACTACCTAACAGGGGAGGAACTGGCGAGCATTATGCTAAGTGAACTAATTCAGTCTCATAAAGACAACTACCATATAGGACAATTATTGTAAACTTGTATGAGGATTAAAGGAGTGGAGAGCATGGGGCTTAAATAGGGTTGCACAATTTCATGAGTGGAGGGAGGAATTAGTAAAGGAAAGTGGAAAGGTCTGGTGTGGGGGAAAAAAATGTATATGAGCTTTGTATGTAAACCAGCATAAAAGAAAATAAAAAAAAAAAAACCAAAACACCCATAACTCCTGTCTTGGAATTCTTACTATGCATAAATTCTTCCACTCATTAGTGCCCCACACTTTCAAAGAAGTTGATAGTAAGGATTTGTCCTCTACTTTACTGGTCCTTTCCTCCACTGATTCAGCTGTTTGAGCATTCTACTATGGTGTTAGCAATTTCTGATGTTTTCTTGCATATACCCTTCCTGGGGAACTACTTGGCAGCAAGCAGGAGCATGCACCCCCAATCTCAAGGACATTGAATGTGTCTGTGCCCTAGTCATCGAGATCAAGGGCTCTTGTTTGCCTCCTTTCCTGTCTTCCCTCCTTGGGTGTGGGTCATGTTCTGCTCCCCTAGCTTTACTTTGGAATTGTCTGCACTGTGTTTCTGTCTCCCGTTTTGGATTCTGTGAAGCTGCTGTCCTGCACTCCTCTCCTGGGGACACTGCTTCCTCTATGTCAAGTTGTCCATACTCTGGTTGGGCAGCTGACAGGAATCTGTAATCCATGTCTCCTTGTCCTCTCTTTTCATCCAGTTTTCCTTCCTGTCAGTGTGCTATCTGATTCTTTATCCTTCTGTTTGCTCTGTAGGATTCTGAGACCGTCATCTGTGTCTGACTTACTTGATTTCTCCTGGCTTGTTCAACGAGAATGGCATAGTAGTATATATCTAACTAAAACCATCTTGCTGAGTCTTCATTGGCTGGATTTTGGAAGTTAATTGCCTAATCTTTCTTCCTAGTCTGTCTTATTCTGGAAGTGCCATTGAAACCTGCTCAGCATCATAGCAACACACATGCCCTCCAGCAGCATATGGCTGCACAGGAGGGACTCTGGGAGATGATAGAACCCGGTTTCCTACCCTGTATGAAGCAAGACTTTTCTCAATTACCCTGCCCCAGCAGCTAGCTACATACTCCAAAAAAGTAATAATTCATTCAGAATAGAATGGATGGGAGGATTTCGGTCAGGTACCCCTCAGCAACGTACGTATCATTAATCTGTCTTTCCTGCTTCAGGTCTGCCCTCCAATGACTAACCTGTGTGAGAAGCTCATTTCCACGCTGCCTTCCTGGAGGAAACTCAATGGGCCCAACCAGTTGATGTCACTCCAGCAGTTCATGTATGATGTGCAGGACCAGCTAAACCCTCTGGTCAGTGAGGAGGACCTCAGGCGTGTAGCCCAGCAGCTCCACAGCATCGGCGAGGTAATGGCCTGACAGGGTCTCTGGACCACATTCTTTTTCCAGATTCCAGGGCCTTCAAGGGCCTGAGGAGGAGATACTGGAAACTGCCCAACTTGCCATATTTTCAAATGTGTTCTGCAAACAGTACTGGGGGCAGAGGTCTCCTCCTGTCACCTTGATCACTTTCTATTTCAGACAGTATCAGTCAGGCTGGCTGCCCTACACATGGTGTTATCCACCCCAGCTTGATGGTAAAGTTCTTCTCAGAGGACGTTGCCCAGGAAGCTAAGCCAGGCAGATAGTGCACATGGACACCGAGCAATCCTAGAAACCCAGTTCAGCACCCTGAGAGCAAGGCCAGCAGTGGTCACAAGGCAGCAGCAGCCTCTTCACTCTTGATTTTGTCATATCAGCACTGGGTGAAGGTGTAGAAGCCCTGTTCTACATCATATACCTGCACCTTAGAGGGGTACACACATTCCATGTCTGCATCCAGGGAACTCAGGAAGTATGAGCTAGCCTGAGCCAGGAAGAAGAGTTCTGAGACAATGAGGCACCAAAAGTTTGCCTGTCTAGTCTGAGGGCCACACTTTGTGGCTAGCTCTATGGATCACACGTGCTTGAAATGAAAACTGGGTCCAGTAGCCGCTGCCTCAGTACTGGAGGATCATCTCTGAGTTCAGATGGGACAGACAGACTTCACCAGTAACCAGTGAGTCAGTCCTAACCCCTGTGATGCCATGTAGGTCAGATAGAGCTGTGCTGCATACAGTTCTCAAGAGCTCCTCTTTCAGAACTTTGACATCCAGGAATATCGCTGGGTAGACTCAGGCTGCTAATGAAAAGGTTGGCAGTTTGAACCTACCAGCAATTCCTGGGAGAAAAGGCCTGCACTCTGCTTGCATGAAGAGTGCAGTTGAAGAGCCCTGTGGGGCAGTTCTGCTCTGGCATGCCAGCTGTCAAAGACAAATTGTCTATAGGTGATGGATTTATTTCTAAGTTCTTAATTCTGTTCACTGATCACTATACGCTGTCATTGAACCAGTTCCACACTCTATTAATTACCATTGTTGTGTGGTCCATTGTGAGATCAGGAATTATGAGACCTCCTGCTTTTTTTTTTCTCTCTCTCTTCTTTAGTGTCATTTTGTTTGTTGTTGTT